ATGAACAGCTGTAGAATTTAGTCCAATACTTTTTCTGCAACTACTGACAGATCATATGGCTTTTTCCTTTCCTCTGTTAAAATGATGACTTTTGGAGGTGGATCTTCCAATGCTGAACCAACACTGCCATCTCTATAATAGAACCACTTTCTACATCCTGCCAGATCTGACTTCTAATAGTTTGTTTTGTTAAAAAAATTTTTATTTATGTTCATACTTTTTTCTTCTCTTTATCCAGTTTTAGGATTAGCAAAATGTTGATTTCCTAAAATGAGTGGAGAAGTGTTCTTTCTTTTTTCTGCTTTAAATGTTTGATATACTTCATCAGTTAAAATGTATATGAGCCTGCTATTGTCATATCGGTAGGTTTTCAAGCTAGGAATATACTTTCTTTAATAAGTGGTATTCAAATTTTATATTTCCTCCAGTGTTAGTTTCATTAATTTGTCTTCCAAGATACTTCTTAGAAATTTCCAAATTTATTTCAAAACAGATTTTTGAAATATGCTTTCTATATCCTTTTAAATTCTGTAAAATCTGTGGTAATGTCCTCTAAATTTTGATATTATAATTTTAAAAATGTATAATTGATATTGTGTAATAGGAAGAAAAGGTCTAAAACAGTAGGGGAAGTGAAAGAGGTAGGGAAAAGGAAAGAAGGGAAAATAAAAAATATGAGAAAAGGAAAAAAAAATGGAAACAAAGTCTTTGCAAATAAAGAAGGGTGGAAGGGGTGAAGGGAGGCCAGGGGAAGGGGAAAAAAATAAGTACCAAGATACATCATATAAAGGTACAAGATCCCAATGATGAATGTAACTGTATTTTATATCTAAAATGTATCAATAAACTTAGTGGATAAAATTTAACTAACCCTAACCTCAATATTCCTTATCTCCCATTCCTGCTTCATTTTTCTCCATAGACCCCATTACCATGTAGCATAACATACATTTACATTATTGTTTATGTTGCTAGGATATAAGCTCAATAAAGGCAGAGATTTTTCAATCTGTTTCTGTCAGATATCTACAATAGACAGCACTTAGTAGGCATATGACATTATTTGATTAATATATTAATGATTACAGGAATGGATAAGTGTTGTTCAAGGTAATAATATGGTAAAAGTCGGGCTGTTTTGGTTGAATTTTGATAAGTAGCCTGAGGCTTTATCTCCTTCTGTAGAGAGTCTAAGGCTTTTCAGTGAAGTGAGAAGAGACACTGAGATGGACCAACTATCTCTTAGGACAAATGAGATTATTGAGGTCTCAGGAGTCAAAAAAACTTTACCAAAATTCACATAGCTTTGGGTATCATCCTTGTTTAAATGCAAATGTAACTTTCAAATACAGTACATATACAAAACATTCTGTAACTTTTAAGTTAAATTCTAGGGATAATAAAAAATCTGGATGCATATCAGACAGCATTAATCAATTTCAAATAGAGTACATTTGTCCAAACTCTTCAGAGCAAACATTCTGAATAATGTTCTGTATAACATTTCACTAAGGCAAGATTATAAATTCAGTACGAATATTGCAAAGTCTACAGGCTTAGTTCAGTATTAAAGATTTTAAGCCTCAATGTTCTTTATATTTTGCTCTTTACAGGATGATTTTGGCAAAATTATACTTCTAAGCAATGTATTCCACAAACATAGATGATTCATAACCTATTCAGCTAACACTGCTATAGGACAAATATTTAATTTAATTTAATGTCCAGCATTTTAACATTATGTGAGCTCTTTAATGTGTTTACTTTTCTTTATAAGGGCAGGAAACTCACTTAATAATTGTAATTTAAGGTGAACAGCTTGTGAGAAAGTGTGATACATATTAAAGCAGTTATGTAAGCCCAAGCATATAAAGATTTGTAAACATGTGTATGGTTTCATTGAAATTAAAGCATCTGTGATGTGTTCTAGCTGGTAGAGGAGCAGATTAAATGATATTTAACCCATATTTTTGGTTTTAAATTTTTGTTCAAACTAGTTATTTGATGCAACTGTTAAGGAAAGTGACTTGGCTTCTCACAAATGGCATGCAAGTTGTAAAGTAACACATCACATCCAAGTGTAGTTAACATGTCCAATTAGAAAAGGATCTCCAAAGAGTATAATCCTTAATCAATTTTTCTAGACTAAAGGACACATTTGCATGGGCATGTTCCATGCACAAGAGTGAATGTTCCATGATCATTCCTTAGATTTTTTTTTTTTTAGGGCTGAGCCTAATACTGAGTCCAGGATTAAATAAACCCTAACTCAATTTGTAAACAAATCCTGAGAAGTGTGATAGAGTAGGGCTCATGCCACTTAGCCCGACTGAGAAGGTGAACTTTAGTTATTTGAATCTTTTCCCCACACTCAAAGCTTAGTCATCTTTGATTCTCATATCTTCTCTCCTATTACCTTCCAAATCTGGGTTATTCCCAGAACAACTAAAATGATTCCTCACTTACGCTATGTTGAGTTACCTTTTCCCATTTAAATCAATTATTGTTATGAAAATTAAGAGGAATAAAATTTCTCATGCTGATTTGTCCTTTCAGTTCAAATTGATCAACATTTCTTTTCTCTTTTCTTTTCCTTCCAATTTAATACCTTTTGTACATTTTAACATGGCTTAGTATATTAAGTTAAAAAATAAAGCCATGATAATTTATGAATGAAGATGTGAGGAATAAGTGTACCATGGTCTGTGTGCTAATGAAAGAGATGTCCAAAGAGAGATGAGTATAGATCAGAGAAATAAAATAGAATAAATTAGCATATTTTACAATATAGGACAAGAAAAATATTTGTTCTCAATATTTCCCCATCTCCCCCATCTATCTATCATCTTTAATTACAGAGACATTTGAATAACACCAGCTAGTCAGCAGGAGTCTGTCATCAGGTAAAGAGATTTTTACTATGATTTTGGTAATGGTCAGGATACTTTCAGCTGAATGTAACAAAAACACAACTACAAATAGCTTAACTGAAAGAAAAAATAAAAGAGAGTGACTTACTGTTTTAAAAGACTTACAATTTCTAAAATGCACATATATCCAGGCATTGTAGGACCTAAGAACTTGAGCAAAGCAGTTGAAGCTCTTTGTCTTTCTTTTCATGTCTTAGCCATACATGCCTTTGCTCATCTTTGACTGTTTTCTCAAGTTCTTCTGCAGCAGCCCAGCATCCTTTATTAAACAGTTATCTGAAGACCCAAGCCTAGATCAACAGAAATTGAAATCCTTAAGAAAAACCCATTCATAAAAATAGATGTGATCGGTTCTGTCCATTTCTTGAGTAACATAGTAAGAAGATGACCTAGTACTATGATTGAGCAGGTAGTCATATGTCCACCCCTGGGAAGTCATATGTGTACCTGGGAAGAGGTGAGCAATATGTTTGATAGCAGCACAGAATCTCAGGATCAGGGAACCCTTTCTCAATGAGCAGACAAAACCAACAGACATCAGATTCATTTCCCCTATATTACTTTGTATTGATTTTTAGAACTAATATGCCTTTCTGTGCAGACTGTGCATAACAGAATCTTTTGATTAGCACAGAGGAAAAGAAACAGAAATCCTTTAAAGCTAGTAAACCTAAGTTTTTCAACCTTTAAAGGGCTAGCTTATGGACTCAGAGGGAAAGCAAGCATTATTTGAAGATATCAGCTAATATTTTATTCTCCTTACTATCTACAATATATAATCATGTCAACAATAAGAAGTGTTGTTATTGTTTTATACTTAGAAAGATGTGAAATAAAGTGACAAAAAAATAGGCATGTTGTGGTCTTTGCAAAAATACGTTTTTCTTTTGGACACAAGGTGAATCTGAGGTACACTCAGTCCCTCACAGAAATGAGCAGATTTTGAAGGTGAGTACCAAGTAACTCTTTTAAACTTTATTTTCTACATGTTTTTTCTAAAGTTCATTTTCTGTCAATATAGCGCTTGCATCAGTCCACTCCTGTTCTTGCCATTAGGAACAAGAAAAGAGCAGAAACAGCCAGAAATTCATATTGGGCTAATCTTTTTGAATTATCTAGATTTGATTCCAGTCTTTTAAGAATATTTTCAATTTTAGTAGTCATTAAAACAAGTGTCCAGCTAAAGTTTTATGGAAGACCACATTCGTCAATGACATTCATCATTGGAAATTTGCACCTTTACATAATCTCTCTTGATTTTTATTTTTCCCCATTCCCCTGCCTTCCCTTCAACCCCTCCACCCCTCCCTATTTACAGAGACTTTGTTTCCAATTTTTCATTTTCTCATATTAATTCCATTCCTTTCTTTCCTTTCCCCTACTCCTTCTACCGGCTAAAATTTTAGATAGATTAAATCAGTATTTATGTCTTCTTCAAGGAAATTTGCAATACTCAAAAACAGTGATTTTTAAGGAAGTAGATATTCAGTCAATTCTGAATCATTTTTTCTACTGGATCTAACTACAATTAGCTCAATCTCTCTGGCTTCTTGGAGTATAACTAAACTAATCCCTGCTCCAACCTTCTTTTAATATCTCATATTTGTCCAAAAATTACCCCCAATTTTCTCCCTCTTTGCCCCTAAAGTATTGCTTGGGTGTCTCTTCCTTTATGTACAGTTGTGTGCTACAGACCCTTCAGAGCTGATTATACACGTATCTTCTCAATGCTACTCCCAGTGATGTCATGCTGCCAGGTTGAAAGCCACCACTGTGTGGTTATTTATGCCCTATAGAAATTGGAAATTAGCCAGTTGATGTGAAACATTTGTGACCTCAGCATTCTGGGAGGCTGAGGCAGGAGGAAGGCAAGTTGGAGCCCAGCCTGGGTAATTTAGTGACTTAGTAAGACCTTTTCTCAAAATAAATGAAAAGAGGCTGGAGATGTAGCTTAGTACAAAGGCTTTGAGTTCAATCCTTACTACTGGGGAAAAAAAAGAAAAAGGAAAAGAAAAAATTGCCAAAAACTATATATCGGAGTATTTTGTTTGTTTATTTGTTTGTTTTTGGTACTGGGGATCGAACTCTGGTCCTTGTTGTTGTTTGTTTTTTAAGACCTGGTTCTATGTAACTGAGTTTCATCTCTACCATTCAGCAGCATATAGTACTTAAGAGCCTGGATTTGGTGTAAGATAAACTGTAACTTAAATTCTGGCTCATCCATTAGGATTTGTGTGACACTGAGCAAGATATTTCACCTTTCTAAGTCAGTTTTCTCAAGTAAAATGATACATTTGAATTCTCTGACACAGGAAAATGCTGAGTAGCTTAGCTGCTTCTCTAACAACCTTTGATCTTCTATGTCTATATCATGCAAAGTTTTGACTATGTTTCAGATTACACCTGATATCATTTATATTTTGCACTTCCTTTTACTGTAAAACTCCCAGCTTTTACAAAAAGAGCATCATAAGTTGCTTAGGGTGTTCAGTAGACAGTGAATGCACAATAAATGCTATGTTAGGGCATGTTAGTAGAGTATATAGTCAGACAGTCATGATACTTTGCCCAGTGATACTTTAGATGCAGTTAGAAGAAAATAAAGGCAGCATTGACTAGTAAAGGGGGTGCTAGACTGTGATTAAGAACATCTAAATTTCAATCTCAGTAGGTAGCATATAAAAACTGCATGAACTCTGGGATCAGATATATCTCTAGTTTCAAATTCCAGTTCTGCCACTGATTATGTGTGCATACTTCACTGAGTTACTAACTTCAGCTTCTTCATTTGTTGAGTGCAGTTAACCGTAGCATTGTATTTACCCTGGAATGTGATCATAAAGCTCAAATGTATTAAAGGATCCTAAGTGTGTGGACAGCAGGTTCTGTATAAAAGTTGACTACTATTATTCTCCCCCTAGTTGATGGAGTGATTTTAATCTTCTTAAGCTTCATAGATTTTGACTATACCCATGAAGTAGGAGGGCTAGTTGGTGCTCTCTTAAGAGATCTTCTGAGTAAAGTTCTTTGTGCCTACAATTTTTTATTCTGTGAATTGATAGAAACCTTTCAATACAAATGTTCTTTGGAAAATAAAAATTTGTCCTTTTCATCTCACTACTTCTAGTCCCTGTCTTCTTCACCTCACACATCCATGTGGCAAATTTATTACCAAAGTTCCTACCACTGGGCCTTTCTCTTAATTCTCCAGACTTCTGATAATTTTAAGAGAGATAGACAAATAACCCCACATACATTTATTTGATTATGTTTCTTTCTCTTTTTAAAATCTGTGCTGTAATCATTTTACCTTCATTATAAAAATTACACTTACTAGTAAGATCTCTGAAGGTCTTGACATTCTTGGATCTAGTTTTATATTTGAGTCTCTTTGATTTTATACCATAGTGTTCTCTCATGAACTCTATGCTCAGGCGCTGTTTCCTAAACATACCAAGGCAGCCTTTCTCAACTCTGCCATTATATGTGTGTATGGTTGTCTTATCCTGAAACATACCTCCCACTTTCATCTTTTGTTTGCTTGGGATACTCCTACTCATATTTCAAGACCTACCTCACAGGACCATTTGTCTGGTAAACCTTCCTAATTCCCCCGGGCAGTGTTAGTCACTGCTGTCTCTGTACTTCTACAGCTCTAGTACTTACCTCTTTGATATATTTATCTGTTTACAGGTCTGAATCCTCCACTAAACAGTGACTCCTGAGAAGGGATGTTCTAAAGTCTGGAGTCAGACTGTCTGGTCTACAAACACCTGCATCAACACACATTAGATATATGAGTTTGAAGAAGCTGCTTAACTTCTTTAATCCTTACTTTTCTCACCTATAAAATGGAACTAATATATTCCTTGTAGGATCCTTATAATTAAATGACAACATATATGTGAGGTTTCTGTCCCAATGCTTGCCACATATTAAGAGCGCAAAGAATATTATTCGAAACGATTATAGTGATGATAATCATGATGGAGGATGTAGCAGGGTAGAGAGAAGAGAAAAGGTAATGGAAAATAGTTTCATTTATATTTTTAGCTCCTGGATGTGTTCTCTGATATCTGGGACTTAGTAAATGCTGAATGAATAATTGGGGATTCCCTGTGTGACCCTATAATAAAGCCAAAGTGACTAAAAACAAACTATTTTTCCTATCTGAGTCAGCATTGTTAAAGTAACCTGGTATGCCAGAAACTCAGGGGTTCACAGTGGAGGAGAAGGAAGATGAGGAAAAGGAGAGGGAATGGTTAAGAATTGTGTTGCCAGTGCATATTGTCCGTCAAAGCTCCTTCCTGCATAGCTTTGAGTAATTTTGGTTGTTTTTATTACCTCAAACAGGCTTTAAATAAAGGAGGGAGGGAGGAGTGAAGACGTGCAGATCGCAAATCTTGACAGTGGGCCCACGGAATGCACCCACTTTGGATCTACGGACAGGCAAAAACAAAACTTCTTCGAAGTCCTCTGACAACCAGCAGGCCAAACAACAACTTAGGGAGGGGTTGGAAGGCAAGCGAAAGGGAATGAAAATATGTGTTCTGGTAAGAAGAGCAGGCAAGGCTAGAGAATGAGGGACTGCCTCCACCTAGGGAGGAAAGCCTAGGACTAGCAGGGATTGAAATACTGGGAATGGGAGTCCAACTCAGGGATAGCAAACTCCCGAGTCATTTGGTAAAGGAAATCTCGATATGCAGGATAAACTGAGGTAACCATTGATACAAAGATCAGTAGACAATTAAGCTTGGGATGCAGTGGAAGGCTTGTACTGGAAAAGGACAGAGAAAACGTAGGGAAACGCTGCTAAATTTATTTTTAAAAAGAGGAAAAAGACCTGCTCTTCTGTTTTTAATTAAATAATGAATGTGCCCCATGCCAAAGTCGTGGCTGATTGCTTTTTGAGCCTTGTATAGAGAAAAACAGAACCACCCCCTCCCCCCAAAAAGAGAAAGAAAGAAAAGCAAATTACTTTCCTTCTCCCTTTCCTTCCTTTCTTCAACTGATTTTTCCCTTTGGCCCCGGAGCCCGAGGGCAGAGGCTTGCTTTTGTTTCTGTTTCTGTTGCCTTTTTGGCCCTATAGATTGCGTCATTCCAGGCTAGAAACCGCTCGCCCTCAGCTTCTCTCTTCTCTAGGCTGGAGCTGCGTTTGGTAGAGAGGCTACAGAGGCTGTGCCCCTGCCCTTTCTCTATTTTGCTCCCCACCAATCACCTGCTCTCTGGGTTTCACAAAAAGGTCTTGAGGAGGTGTCTGAAACTCTTCTCAAAGAGTGTTCTTATCCTTCCTCTTCAAGAAACTGCCCTCTCTATGAGCAGAGAGGGATTTCCAAGGGCCATTATTTTACTCCCCGAAGAGCACTGGGAGCTCAGGGTGCTGGACCCAGAATGGTCCGGTTGGCGACCATCAAGGGGTCCCTTGCAATCACCCTGGGATTGGATTCTTCCCAGTGAAAAGGTCGCTGCGGGCTTTGTTGATCACAAGCCCTTGACTCATTATTTTGGGGAACTGGACACTGTCATCTACATAGATGAGTATCACAGACATGTTAAAATAAGCAAGTACGCACATGTGACTTACCCATTATCGCTGGCAAAGAGTCCAAGGTTTTCCCAGATTTGGGCTTGAGAACGCTCTTAATAGAGTTCCACTCCACCTCTTGCAAAAGCAACAACAACAACAAAAAATTTATTGTAAATGGATCTAGATAATGTCTTGTAGAAATGACGATTGGATTTAAATCAACCCCTAAACCTACCAAAAATAAATACTACTGTTTTTTACTAGAAGGGTTTCCTCAGCAGCTGAGAATGTGTAACTCCTTGCAGGCTACTATTTGAATTGCCCTCTGAAAACCAGAGACAGGATTGTGAAATACTTCACAATACAGCTGAGATGGCTGTTCAAAGCCTAAGATCTGCTTATGTCTCAGGGCTTCTTGCAAATTGTTTTATATGTAGGAAAGAATGCTGATCTTAGTGTAATTGATACATAGAAAATTATTGAGTTGATGTGGGAAACAAAATCATAAGGAATGCTAGGGCAATATCTTAAAGGGAGCATTTAATTGTCTGTCACTCAAGAAAGAGGAGCAGTTCAGCTTTCAGATGTATCCACATTATACAGTCAGCCAATAAAATATAATCCCCATTCAAGCTATTAGAGTAGCACTTCGGGTGGCAGTTGGGAGTTTTAGCTTGGTTAAAGCAAATAAAATACTGTAGAAGGAATGAAATCAAACTTGAAACTTGGATTTGCAGAATATAAGGCAGCTTGGAGAAGATGAATTCAGGTGGAAAATGACCTTTTTATTATGTTCAGGAAGGCATTAGAATGTCAGGAGAATTGGAAGAAAGGAGATTTATTACCATAAACACAGTTGACAAGATCCATTTTGTTGAGTCTTTTGGATGGAGGATGGAAACCAGCATTTTGGCAGTGACTGAAAGAGCTTTGCAATGTGTTCTGGTAATCCAAGGAGACCCAAATGGGGAAGAAACGTACAGCCCCAGATCTGCTAAGAGGCACCAGGGAGCTTCCCAGGACCTGAATATTGAGTTTCTACCATAGACATATGTATTTCTTGTCAAAATAAGTGTACTAGGTGGATCATATAAGATATGAGATGGACTGGACCGTCTCATATCCTTCTTACTTTCAATAGAAAAGAAAGTTTCTCTCCTCTCCCCTCTCTCTCTATACACCCACACATATATACAGATATAAGAGTGTATGAACATATCCATAAATGCATGTATTGCAAATCTAGAGAAGAGATGTTTCAAAAACCTTAATCATATTTTGTAGTAAAATGAAGTCACATGTATATATTGCTTTATGCTTTGAAGTCCGCATTCAAATTTATCAGAAGTGCAGCGTCAAAAATACAAACCCATCTTATGTGGCCAAGGGAACTAATATTAGAATTTCCACTTTAGAGATGAGCAAATGAGGATAAGAGAAGGGAAGTGATTTGTCCAGTGTCCTTTTAACATTGCCACAAGACATTTCAGTGTTTGTGATTCAGAAGCATGAACTTAAGCTATACTAGCTTGAACACAACCTCATTTTTCGACCATTTTCTGTCTTTTAAAAATTTGTATATTTCTGAAAATTCTCCACAATCTTCCCCCTCACTCTCATACTGGGGGTGGAGCTCAGGGCCTTCATGATGAGCTACATTCTGAAACCTCCCCCCTTTTTATTTTTAATTTTGAGACAGAGTCTTGCTAAATCACTAAATTTCCCAGGCTGGGTTCAAACTTGCAATTTTCCTTCTCTTTATCTCTAGTCAGTGAATGTAGGGAATTATTTTGAGGTGGGGTAAGGGAATACTTTCAGCTCCTTGTTGTACCTCCCGAACCAAGAAAAGTGCCTAGCAATTAGTAGGCACACGATAAATATTTATTAAATGAATGTATTCATGAAAGAAATATTTAATAATATCCATTTGGATTCAATTACCATCTTTCTGGCTAGTTTTTTTTACGAATGTTATTTAATTATTTGCAAAAAACCCCTAATCTTTACAAAGCCCTTCACATTTAATGAAGAGGTGATAGCCCTTCCCTGTTTCTTAGTTCTTCTTGATTAGCAAAAAAAGGTGTTGCTTGGAACGTCATTTCAGATCATTAAGTGATGACTCTGCTAAGGCAGGGAGATTTTTTTTTCTGTCTTATGTCCTTGCTACTTCCTATTCCCTCATCATCTCTCTCCCATGTGTGTATAACCTTCAGGTAGTATCCTTTGCCTTCAACCTATCAGGAATGTATTTTTCCTGGACCAATGCCTTGGACTTAAGATCTTTCCAGACTTTTTCTTCCCTCATTAAATGTTAGTTAACCCATTCCCCCTGGTGTCTACTTTCCATACTGTTTAATGCATCCAGGGAAATATATTTTTAACTTTTTAGAACCAAGTAATCTGAGAATTAGAAAGCCACATTATACAGCTTCTCTCTAAGTGCAGCAAATCTTTTTACAGCATTGACAAGTGTGAAGCAGTATGGGTGAGAATCAAGTCTCTGGACACAAGATAGATGTTCTTTCTGCCTTTTACAAATTGTGGGACTTTGGGCAAATTACTTAACCTTTCTAAGTTTCAGACCCTTCATTAGAGAATGATGACAAAATCGTTCCCATCTCCTAGGGCCACTGTGAGGATTAAGTGAAAAAATGCAGACAAAGCACATTAAATAATTCCTCACCAGTAATATTCAGTAATAGATAGTAGCTATTACTGGTAACATCCTGATGCGTAATCATTCAGATTGTATTTCAATGTCATCAGTATTGGAAAAGGAGACTATTGCATTCTTCAGTCAATCAGGTCTTTTTGAAGATACATTGTCTAGCTATAAAGTCCTTTTTAATTAGCTTAAATCTACTTTATTATACTTCTATCCATTGGTCCCTGATGTTTACTTGGTGTAATATAGAACACACACACACACACACACACACACACACACACACTTTCTCTTTGGTAAGACAGCATTTACATTTTTAAAAACAATAATTATTTTGTATCTGCATATCCATTTCAATCTAAGATTTCCAAGTTTCTTCAATTGTATTTCTCTATTGTGGTTTCCCACTCTGTTACCATCTTTATTTCTTTCCTTGAGACAAAGTCCAGCTTACCTATGTGCTTCTTCAAGAGTAACACCAGAGTAAGTTGCAATAGCTTCGTTGTTGTCTACTGAGTACAAGCTACAGGGGAGATATTATCTCCTATGATCTAGACACTCTATTTCTAATGACTTCTGTGATGTCATTAGATTTCTTAGCAACCCTGTCACACAATTGGAGGTGTGTCTAGCTTGTCAGTCACAAGTTAGAAGTCCTTGTCTTTTTCGCATGAAGCATTTATAACCCAGGTTCAGTTTGTTCTGTACATGAGTTAATTAGGGTGTGTTTAAAAGGATGGTTTGACATTTATTTATATTAACTCTCACTAAGATAACTTCTGGAGCAATGTCTTCAATCTGTTTTTCACAATATTTCCCCCTCTCTCAGTACACATAAATGATAATATTCACATAAAGTGCAAAAGCCTATAGGCATACCCATTTTTATTTGTGATTTTCATTTGCTGGTTTTAAAAAGAAGCATATCAGAAATGGTGTGAGTGAACCTTGGACTAAATGCAAAATTCAATAACTTAAAGAGTTTAGGTAATCTCAACTGAATATCTTCATGATATTAGGAAAAATAATTTGTACAGTGTCAAACAATACAGAAAACATGAATAATAAAGGAAGTATCTTGGACATTTGATTTCATTAAACCAAAATCATCACCAATACACCATAAAGAGAATGAAAGTATCACATTAGTATTTGCAATGTATATAATGGACTAAAGACCAACATATCCACCTGAATTACTAAAAGCTCTTACAAATTATTAAGAAACAACAACCAAATAAAGAAATGGGCAAGAGACCTAAACCTATATTTTACAGAAGGACTTTGAATGTAAATCACATGAGAAAATAATCAAGGAAATGAAACTTAAAACCCAGTTGATGACATTTAACACTCACTAGAATTGGAAAATTAAAAATGACTAACAATAGCAAATATGACAACTGTTGCATTCTCAAATTTTAGGCCATTTTTCAATTTTACATGAGCTATAAACAGCACTGCAGACACTTCAGTGTCCCAGAGCATGAGAAAGGGAAAGAATGTACAGATAACTTAGACTAGGAAGTATTTTACTTTCTTTTCATTTAGATTCCATTAGCAAGAACCTAGTGAAATGACTATGAGTGGCTGCAAGAAAAGCAGGAAATATTGTTTCCAATCCTCTATTTTTTTTTGGAATAAGAGACTAGATAATAATAAGGAATCTCTATCATGTCTTGTAATGTAGTGATTTTACTACAAGGTATGTACCCTAGAGACTTGTTCTTAGAAGTGAGCCAGGAGCTACTGTACAAGAATATTCGTAGTGGTATTATTTTAGTAACAGCAGCAACAATAATAAAATACCTGAAAATAATTCACTTATTCAATAACAATCAATTAAATATATGAATTGAGGTATGAAACAGAATGTACCCAAGGAAATAAACTAAAGCTACACACATTGACATAAATGAATATCACAGGTCATCTAAAAGGAGGTCATAGAATATACTCCAAATTATTTCATTTATATAAAGTTTAAAATGAAAGCCTTTAAAGTACAATGTTTTGGGTGGCTACATAAGTGGTAAACCAAAGGGAAATAAGAGAATAAAATCATGACAGTCAGGATAATGAGTAGCTATCCTTTTTGCAAAATGAAGGAGATAAGATAGAGGAGAGCATTCAATAGCACTAACATTGCTCTATTTGTAGCTGGTCATAATTACGTGAGTTCCTTTGTTCTTTGAACATATATATGTATATAGAAACACATACATGCTAAACTTTCAGTGTATATATGTTGAATAAAACTTTTTCTAAAAAACAAATTAAAAATAAAAATATTTAAGATTTTGTACTTTCAGTATACAAATAACTAATTATTCATAACAACTAGTTGGAAATACATGTATCAAAACAAAATAATCATTGCTTTCCCAAGAAGACAGTTTCATAGTGGGAATATCAGCCATTTTAGGACCAGACCTCAGACAAGCAAACTTTGGGAACATTAAGGAATGTGTCTATCACAGTGCAGGCTCCTTTTTCCTCTCTTTCATCTTTTGTATAGGTCACTAATTTTGTGCTTAGCGATATGCAAATTGTACAAAAGGGTATAAACTTTATTCTAAACACAGAACCACATTTCTGATTCTGAAAAGTAGCACGCTGCAATAGACGAAGGGTTTAGGTCCCTCAGATTCCACATGTTGAAACCCTAATCCCAAAAGTATTATATTTGAAGGTGAGGCCTTAGGGATGCAATTAGGTCAAGAAGAAGGAGCCTGCATGAATATGATTGGTGTCTTTAAGAAAGGGGCCTCAGAGAGCAAAACCAGGTTCTCCTTGTGGAAGAAAATGATGAGGCAGTAAGAAGACAGCATCAGAAAAGAGGACCCTGGCATCCTGGTTTAATCCCAGTCTTCAGAACTATGAGAGGTAGATTTCTGTTGTTTTTAAGTAACCCAGTTGATGGTGCTTTGTTACAGCAACTCAGGCTTAGACCATTTATGTCAGCATCCCCAACAGTTCTTTCAGTGATGGACAGTGATGAGAGCAGGACTGTAAAATCAGCATGGCTGGGTCAACATCTGGGCTTGTCCCTGTCATCTCTGACAAGCTCTTCAACCTCAGGGAGACTCCATTGCTTCATCTAATCAATGGGAATTTTAAAAGTGTTTGCTCTATTGGGTTATTGTGGGAGCTCAGTAAAATAGTGGTAATAATTTCATATATGCCTGCTTATAGTGGGTACTTAAAGTATTGTTAAAAATACAATAATAGAAACATTTTTGTAGTTAGCAGTTTGTGAATGCTAAGATTCATAGAAATGTAACACCCTAGCCAAATATAGAACCTTCTAAAATTTGACACATATGTGCAAAAGCTAGTTTTAACATGTAGTTGTCCTAGCATGTAATAGACACTCAATAGATCTGGGCTTCCTTTTATTGAAGGGGAGTTGAAAACTTTGTCCTGATTCTTTCAAATTGCTATTATCCATGAGTCTAGTAATTAGAGTCAGAAGTTGTAATTAGAAGGTAGAATATCATACCAGGGAAAATAAATCTCTTTACAGTGTTGTGAATTTTTGTTCTGGAAACTTTGCTGTGTCTGAGTTTAGACTCCCAAATGGTCAATGACATAAAATAAAATAAAGTGAAATTAAATGGGGTAACCATAGGTAAATGCCTAGTACTATAATGGTATGTAATAAGAACTTAACTACAGTTTTCTTTTCCTCATTTGGAGCTGCTTTAGGCACTGCCTGAAACATTTAAAAATAGGTTCTCAATATATCTTTTTCTTTGGAATTGAGTCTAACTTTTGGAAATAACTGAAAGCTACTCAGAGCCAAGAGTGGTGAATAATGTGTATGAATAAGTTGAGTAATACCATTTTTGGTAAAAATTGAGTTGTGATGAAATTAATGAGACTTTTTCTCATGTGGCTTATAAAGTACATCTGAAGGCAATTCTAAAAAGGATTCCTATACATGGTTCAGGCAGTGACAATATTTTTGAAATAATTTTGAAGACATGTTTTCATCCAGTGAAGTAGTGTTGACATTGAACATATGAGTTACTAAAATATTGAAATGATTTTGTATCAATGAATAATAAGCCCTCCCCCAAATTCCTTTAAATATGGTTTATCCAATTGGCCAGCTACCTCAGTCCCTATACGAGGTTAACTTGTGGTAAAGGATCTCCAAAATTGCTTTGACTCTACGCCTAGCATCAATTTTGGTTGGTTGATGCTTATGTCATTCAGTTTGCTAATTATTTTGAATATCACTACAAACTGTCATGCTGCCTGATCATCAACTTCATGTTCTTGGTGATGCTTGTTTTGATGTTAAGCTTGGATAGTTTGTACGACATGAATAATAAAAGAGCTTTCTACAATGACTAGAATATATAATACACAATTCTTCCTTACAAGAACTTATTTAAAATTTCTTTGCTTAATCAGGTGCTAGATGCAACAGATTTAAAACTGTGGACATGTGTTCCATCAACAAACAAATGCTTTCTCATTTTATTTTGCATGGCAGTCAGGAAAGAAAACTGAATATTCCTAGAGTAAATTCCAACATCCTGATACATGTTAAACTTAATAATTCTGCCAAAGAAAATTACATGAGATTGTTAGGTTGATAAAAATAAGGAGAATATATTTCTAGATGTTTCCAAGGCAGAAAGTGTAGAGTAGTATTAGGAAAAAAATCATTGCAAATCCCTTTAGGTATTTATGGTGCATTTATTTGCACAAGTTTCAGTTGTTCCTCATTGTTCTCTCTTCATTGATAATTTTATTGGTTGCAAAATAGTGATTGTTTCATTTTTGTCCGAAAACTCCAACCTTATTGGGCCAGGGATTTAGCTCAATGGTGCTGCTGCCTGACTTGCAAGCGCAAGGCCCCGAGTTTGATCTCCGGTACAAAAAAAAAAAAAAAAGGAACAAAGCTCCAACCTTATTGACAACTTTCTACCAGAAATTCATTTAACATTAATTGTGACACACAATTGTAGGCATCATTTGATCACAAATTAAGATTGCAGAAGCAGTTTACCCATACTAATCCCAATGAAGCTAAATGAAGAGGTGAACATTATGTTATAAATGAGAAGTTTATGATTTTTTTCTTGAGATGTTTCTTAGAATACATTTAAAAGTGTATTTCTTGGATGATTTGAGAAAGGGAACAAAAAACATTACAGAAAAATAAAATCAAATAATGTTAAGATTGTCAGGGTCTTTAAAACCTAATACATACACTGCCTGGCAAATCAAGGCATTCAATCAATGGTTAGGAATTGGAGAACTATCTAGGGGTTCAAATCGTAGCTCTGGAGTGGACTTAGCCTTGACATTTTGGAACATATGACAGTAGGCCCTGTGGCAGTTGTGCCAAGATTGCATTGGAGCAATGTGGGGCCCCAACACTTTCTCACTTGCTTTTTAACCTGAAAGAACTGGATGGTAAAGAGCACACAGGAAGTTTCTGGGCTCTTTTGTTAAAAGTTTCCTTATTCTGAGAAAAAGAATCTTTTAAAAGTTATGGAGTGAAACATAATACAGATACCAAAGTCTAGA